ACTGCACTTTGCCACAGCATGGAAGTAATTTGTATTAAATATAATTCATTGATCACAAATAAATACTAATTAGAGTAGTCCCTGCGTGATGTGCTCGCTTTCAGGATGTTCTCTTTAGTGAACAGACTTCTATACTTTTGTAAAGCAATTAAATCTACTAGTAATGCTCAGTAAATAACAAACACAAATTAACAGCATGTTCTTGGGCTCCTGAACTTCAGAGCTGCAATTAAAAGTATTTAGTCGTTTTTCCCTTTGTGCCTTTCTGAGCCTTGCACCCCAATAAAAAGCAAGGTGTTTTCTTACTTTACTCCTTACTCATCGCAGTAATGGATGCTTCCTTGGCGTGAGGTAACTGATAATCTGAGCCCTTGACCTGTGGCACTGTGTTTTATCACTGTCACAATCTGCTGCCTCTCTAGGAAGTTCCAGGTTTAGTTTGCTGCTATTTGGACTTTTGCGTGCCTGAATCTAAGGGGGAGAATCAGCATGCTCACAGGACAGCTGCTGGCCATGTAAACCACAGCATGGGGCTGCACCAACAGAAAACCCCTTTAGTGACTGAAGAGAGGCTGAAAGCAGTCATAACCTCTCTTCTACTGTGGGTGGCATACGATGAGAAGGGATCAAAGCCACAGTGGCTGAGGATGCTTTGCTTAGTACACCTCCTCACAGAATATGTCGGCAGAGTTGGATTCCCATCTGTGAACCACACCTGCTCGTCTTCGTGTAGCAGTGCTGCCATCTTTCCTCTCCATATAAAATTCTCCCTCCCCTGGAGTCGGGAGCCAGGTTGCTGCAAACAGTTGACACTTCCCTGAGCCGTTTTCATGACATGATGCACGACTTCTGTCCTGCAAAGGGATGTTTGTTGCTACCTCAGACTGGCTAAAAACCTTGGAGAACATTATGTTCCTTGGGGAATACAGAGATCGAGTGCTGCAGGAAACTGATGTTGGCTTCTTATGGTAAGTGGCGCTCTTCCCTACAAGTTGATACCAAACTGGCGCCCCAGGGTGGTTCTGGGATGTGCTATGGCTCCCGTAGTGGCCAACTTTCTGGCTGGACACCTAATCTCTTGTGGACACTTTTGCCGGAGTTCAGAGTATGAGCTCTGATGTCTTGGTCAAATTCCAACATGGGTTCATTCCATTCTGGTGTCATACAATTGCCCTGGCAGCTTAGTAGCTCACCTGGCATCCTCTTCTTCATTCTCTGCCCTATGAGTTGTGCCTATTAACAGTTTTATTGTGTGAACATAGAACATAAGAACGGCCGTACTGGGTCAGACCAAAGGTCCGTTCATCCCAGTATCCTGTCTGCCGACAGTGGCCAATGCCAGCTGCCCCAGAGGGAGTGTACCGAACAGGGAATGATCAAGCGATCTCTCTCCTGCCATCCATCTCCACCCTCTGACAAACAGAGGCTTGGGCAGTGTTTCTTAAATTCCGAGGCAGTCGGAGGTGTGCCATGGAGAACAGCAGAATTCAAAATGGCCACCCTTAAAGGGACAGGCGACCTTTTTTTTTCCTCAATAACTTTCCCCTAAACCTTTTTTTCCTCAATAACTTCCCCCTCATCCTTTTCCCCCAACTTTTTTTTTTGTTCAACCAAAAATCCTTGGTATTCCTCATACAAAAAATATTGTTTGGTGTTCCTCGGTCTTAAAAAGTTTAAGAAACACTGGGCTAGGACACCACTCCTTACCCATCCTGGCTAATAGCTGTTAATGGACTCTCTATATTATCTGGCAATTGTCAGTGATTTGCTTAGCGCTGCAAAATCCCCGCCACCGAGGTGTTTACAGTCTAGAGTCCCGGTCACCTCTGTTTTCCTGCAGAGGAGATGACAGTCCAGTAGTGGGTGAAGAGCTCTCTGCAGATAACTAGTTTATCAGCATGCAGAGGACTTTGGGCTTTGAAAGTGAGACGTGCATGTTTGTGGGGATTATTTGTGTGTTAGGAAAGGCTCCTTTGGCCTTTTATAGGAGAAAATAATGGAACTAGTAGGGGCTTATACACCAGGAATTACTGTGGATTTGCAAGGTCTTTTTATTGTCTAACTCGGTGGTAAGAATGATTGTCGAGTAATAAAAAAAATAGCATCTTTTTAGCACCCAGGCAGATCCTAGCTAAGGTCAATGCACAAGGGCCAGCACTACCTGCCATAGGATTGGAGTCAAAATAAAATCTCTCTTCAGTCCTATTTTTGTCCCCTCTTTTTACAAATCTGAGGGGTCCTTATTAGCAAATCTCTTAATTAGTAATTGACCCTAATGAGAGAGAATTTTATGGTGGTTTTCTGCATCAGGAATATCCACTGGGTCAAGGCCCTGCCAATACAGTATTTTTAGTTTTTTTTTCCCAGTCATAGATATTCTTTGTCACATTAGGGTCAGACGGGTCATGTAGTTGTCTGTTCATAATATGCATAGTAGTGGATTCTGATAAGCTTTCCAGCATCACGATCCTATTGCAGAAATACAAGTAACTTACTCATTTACAAAAATTGGCAGCTGGGCAGAACTCCAAGTCTCTAAAAACTCCTATATAATATAAAAAAGGAAATTTGGATCCAAAAGAGAGCAAGGCTAAGTATGTTAGTTTTTGGGCGACTTCTCTGCTGTTAAATTTCAGAGCAATTATGTGTCTGCAACCCTAGATTGCTATGAAAATCTGCATCCACAATGAATGAAGATTATTGTAAATAACAATAAAGAAAGGTGTGCCTTAATCCTCAAAACTGATTAGAAAACCCTAAGCCTAAACACTTCATTTCTCAGTCTTTTCTTCTGACTCAAGGTACAATTCTGCCCTCCCTTTGAGTCCATCCAGTATTAGCTCATCTGAATGAGGGCTGTATGGCAGTATTAATGAGGGCAGAATTTAGATTTGTAAGCAGTTTTGGATCGGGAATGCTCTGTGTGCCTGAACCTTGCCTGGCACAGTGTGGTCAATCCAGCCTGTAGGTGCAACGAAAATAGAACTAATAGAAATCACAACTGGGCTTGATGTTTTGATCCTCCCTGTGGTGATATTCTGCCTTGTTTGAGGGAACTGCTGCATTTAGCTTACTGTGGTCATCCTGGGAAAGAAAAGATTTGTTCCCCAGGGATTGAATTAGAGAGAGAGAAAATAAAAATGAGAGGTTGGACGTTCTTACATATGGATAAAATCCCTTCTTCCCTGAGCTACCAATTCCTTAAACCTTATGAATGCAAGTGAAATGAATACATACGTATTTTAGAAATGTGAATCTGCCCGTCTGCGAGTCTGTTTGTTCAAGAACTCCTCCTGAATGTGAGAGTTATAGCCACCAAATTTGATATGCAGCTTTCTCTTCTCCTAATTCAGCGTTCCTCACTTAGGGAAAGTCGCTAGTGGGCTGCTCCACTTTGTTCATCTAAAGGCTCTGTAGTGGCTCTCATTCACTCCAGTTCACCATTTCTAGCCAAGGCGAGCTGCAGGAAACTGCCTGGCCTTGGGCCGCCGCTTCCTGCTGCTTCCCTTGGTTGGAAACAGCAAAGTGGACCCAATGGGAGCCATGAAGATCTGTGACTATGGAGCCTTCAGATAAAAAAAGCGGAGCGGCACATCAGTGTGTTTCCCAAAGGGGATCTGTGGCCCACTTTGAGAAACACTGTCCTAACTAAATGCAAGGTCAGGGTTTGGTTGTGCCAGGAAGTGTGGGGAATGGGATTGTGTTCCATAAAATGGAACGGGAGGTGCTGTTTGGCGGGATGTAATACTCACAGTGACCACTGGGGGCAGCAAGTGCAGGGGAGAGCCATACTGCAGAGTGTCCACTGGGGGGAGCCGTACCACCAAGTGAGTGGTCAGCTGAGGATGGGGCTCATCATCTTACCTGCCACCTCCCCCGGTAAGTGGGCCCCCCTGCCCAGGAGACAGCCCCTGCCAGCCCCACTGCCCTGGGAGGGGCTAGGGGAAGGAGAAATGCCTCCCTCCCTCCTTCCCTGTCCTGGGAGGAACCATGGAGGAGGGAACCCCCACCAGCACTCCCCGTGCCTGGGAGGGCCTGGGAGGGGGAAGGAGGAAGCCCCTGTGGTGCCTCCTGCACCCCCAAACCCTAGCCTCCTGCCCTGAGCCCCTCACATCTGCAAGGCCTTGCCCTGATTCCTGCACCCACCACAGACCTGGTGCCAGCCTCCTCCCTTGAAGCACCCGAGCAATGCTGGGTTAGTCTTCTAGTGAATACATTATGTAAAAGATGTTTAGCTCGTGCTAAAGAATGCTCCAAAAATAAAATTAAGGAAGTCTGCTGATAGAAGTTACTATACAGGAATTGCTCATTTAACACGTGCCTACTTAACACGTTTTCACAATAGCACGATTTTTTTTGTAGGGAACGTTTTTTGAATTACACGTCCGTCCCCGGAATAACACTGTTTCCCCAGCTGGCCCATCGCTGGCAGCTGCAAGGGGCTTCCTCCGCCTCCCTGCAAAGTGGCGGAGGGTTCGCCGCTCACCACGCCGTTCCCCGGCGACCCTCCCTCACCAGATGCAGTTCGGGTCCCAGCAGACCCGTCACAGGGGCACACTCCTAACCCAAACCCCCTCCCCTCTCCTCCCCTACCCTTCCCTAGAGCCAAACGCCTCCCCTTCCTGCTGTAACCAAGTCCCCCTTTTCACCCAACCTTATGTCCCAGTCCCAACAGACACCACCGCTTGAAACACAACCCCCACCTTTTCCATTATTTTCAATGGGAAAATTGACCTTGCATAACACGTTTTCACTTAACACGATCATTTTCTGAAACGGATCTATAGTGTTAAATGAGGAATTACTGTGGTTTGCTGTAGCTAACTCCAGAAGTAAATGCAGCTTCTGCACAGTGAAAATTCCTAGGACTGATTCTGTAGGCATGCCCTCTCTAACAGCCTGTGTGGGCAGTCATGGCACCAGGAGATGAGTTTTCCCAACACACTGAAACCTTACAATGCCAGTAAGACTGCACATAACCCTAGCAGAACGGGACCTACCGGAGATGATTGTGAAGTGCGATGGGGAAGTCATGGTCACGAAAGGAGGGGTGACGTACTTGGCTTTCACTCCCTGCTTCACGAGGAGATCCATGTTCGGGGTGTTGACATCCTGGTCATAATTCCAACGGAATCCATCAAAAGAAACCAGAAGGAGTTTGTTTGAGCTGTTTTCCTTCTCATTCCTGCCAGTTGGACGGCAGGTGAATGGTTTTAAGAAGCCAAGCAGAAGCAAAAGACAGCTAAGTCTCTTCATGCTGAGTAGCTTGCAGCACAGAAATGGCATGCCCAGTTTTTTGCTCCTGCTTTTCTTCCTTTCTTATCTGTGGTGGATCAGAGCAAAGTTCAAGCCAGAGAAACCTGTTCAAAGCCATATCCTTGATAACATATAGATTTATTAAAGTAAAACCATCTGGGCTTTTCTGAAGTGACTAGTGAGTCTGGAATACTTAAGTGCACTGGCTGGCTGACTAAGGCTTTATAAAAGGGGGACTGATTTTCATGTGCAGCGCTTTCTGAAAACCAGGCCCTGTAGCGTGTCCTCTCAGGAGTGGTGCCGGGAGGTGCATTTTTTGGAACACAATTAAAAAAGTGAAGCCTTGTTAATTTTTTTTTCCAATGAAACCTGACAAAGCCTTTAAGAGATTTGTATCTGACCAATGAGAATGCCGATGGTGCTGGCAGAAAGGGACCAATAATGAGGGGTGTGAAATGCAATGGGGAAGACCTTCTAAGCACCATTTTGGTGCGTCTACAAAGCAGCGTTCTTTTGGAATAACTGACGTTATTTTGAAATAGCACAGTGCTCATCTACACAGCAAGCCATTGTTTTGAAATAATGGCAAGCTGGAGGACATCTTACTCTGACTCCTCTAACCCACATTTCACGAGGAGTAAGGGAAGTCGAAAGAAGAGTGTTTTTTCCTTCAACTTCCTGCTGTGTAGACAGCGCCAAAAGCCGATTTAAGCTGTTTCGACTTCAGCTGCGCAATTGACATAGCTGAAGTTGTGAACCCTAATTCAACTTTTACCCTGATCTGTAGATGTACCCTTTGTGGTCTGGATTGGCCCTGGTGTGCCCTGTCTCAGTTCTGTGGTAACCCAACTACAATGCCAGGTTCTTTTTGCACATTATTTATTACTCTGTAGTTTTAGTTTTAGTGCAAGTACTCTGCAACAGAAGTAAGTCTCCAAGCATAAATTCCCTCTCCGCTTTTGGTCCCACCAAGGAATATACTCACAAATAGCATGGGCAAGTTTTAACAAGACCTTTGAGAATTTGATCCCCTGTTTTTGCCATTAGATTTGGATGCTCAGACGATCCATACCTTTCAACAACTGACTAGCCACAGGGATAATATGCCAAATGAGTCTTCAGGAGAGTCCAGCCAGGGAGGGACACCGTAATGCTCAGAAGCTGAGAAGGTCGGTAATTAAAGCTGTGTCTGTTCTAGGAAAGGAGAGAGAAGAAAATTAAACTGCCAACAAAGAATAATGAGAAATCTTTGATGAAATTAGTGATGCAGAACAGATACTAAGTACTTTCTTCTTTCCTCCAGAGTCTAAAGTTTTAGCTGGGAAGGAGTTGGTGAGAAGCAAGCGTGTTGAGATTCTGAGCCCCACATAACTAGTCACAAGAGTCAAGAGAGAGAAAAGCTCAGACCTGGTAATAAAGATAAAATAAATGAACAAACCAGTGCGTTCTGCATATTTGGATAAACTAGACCCAGAAAACTCCATTATCTACAAGGCCATTGTTTCTTGCCATCAGAATATCTAGATCTTCGACTTTGGCAATAAGATTAATTTCATCATTGCTTTTCATCTGCCTGTTCTCCTGAACAGCTAACGAGCCTGCATTCTTATTTTTAAAAGGATCTCGAGGTGGAGAAGAGAAATGTGTTGGCAGCAATAAAAATTAGGGAGACCATGTTTACCAAGTCCTGTTAATAAACTCACCTAAATTGTAGATTTTTGCATAGGTAGGCAGAGGGGTGGGGGAATGAGAATCCAGAAGGCTTTGTAATGAAAATAAGACTCTCAGACAAGAAGTGCACATGCTCTGGAATACTTAATGTAGGTGCAGCCGCCAAACTGTGGCATTAAAAGCCTTCTGATGCTAAGAAAATATAGATAAACATTCAGCTAAAGGACAAGTCTTATAAATGGTGTTCCCTTTTCTCCTTCATCTCTCAGTTAAAACTAATAATTTTTAGGGCCATTGGCATGGAAACAGCATGTTTGTTTTTCAAAAGTTCATCTAATCGTTCTACTGCCACCACCCGAAACCTGTGATTCCAAATCATCCTTTCGTCTATACCATTGAAACTGCAGTGAGGTCAGACCAGGGAGAGTTTGACCTGATTGCTTCTGTTTCTGAGCGTGTGCTCAGTGGAAATGATTCTGATATCACAAGTGCAGGACTCTTATCTCTCTAGGACCTTGCTGCATCCAGATACCTGCTGAGCACTTCTCCGAATTATGAAGTGTGCCCATCAATAAATACTTATTTCTCTCATCTCGTCAGCCTGCAAGGACTTGGTGGACTCAGTTTGATCTGAGTTTTCCTTGTTGATGTTTTTGTGGGATGACAAGGTTGGAGAAGTGGGCTTTGCATTTTGCTCTGAAGATGCTGAGTCCTTTGGTAACCCTGGTCTCTCCTGGGAGCTGCAGGTTCAGGGGCCAATTGCTGTGAAAAATCTCGTCCATGCTCAGGCTTCGCTGGTGATGTTGGCCATTTTGTAGTTTGCGTGGAAAGTAGCCATCAAAGGAGGTCATGATCTTGCAGAGGCAGTTGAATTGAGGCCACTCTCATGGAGGGCTTTGGAGCTGAAAACAAAACATTGGGTTCCATGCTCAGCATCCCATGGAGGGACCATGCTGGATCGGCACTAGGATGCATTGATAAGCAGACAGTATAAGGGGTTAAAAAAAGGAGAAAAGAGAATTTAGGCTAAAAATCAGCAAACCTTTGCAGGCTGGGAGATCTTTTAGGATAGGGATAGTTTTCCAAGGGATATGGTGAAGCCCTTATCTTCTGGGATGTTTAAAACCAGTGTGGACAAAGCCCTCCACACATACCCTGGTGTGCAGTTGTGAACTGTCAGGATGGTGGACTTGACCCAATGGCTTATTTCAGTCCAAAAAATAAGAGCTCAAGTACCACAGCTATATGAGGCTATATGAGGTTTGCAAAATCCAGAGGGGCAAGATGTCTGGTGGCAATGCTACAAGAGAAAAGGGGAGTGTATCCCGGGAGGAAATGCAGGGGATTTTTTTTCTGGCATTTTCCTCTACCATAACAGCCATCCGATCATCAATTTGCTATAGAATGCTGCAATGTTTTTAATAGTAACGCTAAACATTAATAAGACGCTAAAGGAAATAGTTTCTGTTTGCCTTGCAGTTGTCTTGAGCCTCTGCAAATAAAGCCCATGTATTTATATCTCAACTGTTAAGAAAGTGCTGAGTCTGAAAATGCAGTAAAAATATGAATCATATTTTTCTTGACAGTCCAATGTCTGTTTACAATATGTTAATTAAAAAATCGATATGCAATGGATAAGATCTGGAAAAGTAAAGCGATTAGCTTAGGAACGAAGCTGAGCATCTTGAAAATGTGTGTATTTAACAGCATGTTGTACGGATGTGAGACAAGGGTGATAACGAAAGATATGAAGAGAAGGATATTGGCGTTCGAGAGGAGTTGTTATAGAAAGATCCTGATAATAGGATGGATGCAGAAGGTCACCAATGAGGAATTATATAGGAAGATATAGCCAAAAGAGAACCTACTGCAGAAGGTTATACAACGGAAGTTACAGCTGTTCGGGCATATCTCCAGAATGAACGACGAGCGAAAAGTTAAGATCTTGGTATTCAGCATAATGGATAGTCTGAATAGGAGAAGCAGACCCCACAGAGAATGGGGAGATGATATAGTAGATTGGTACAGAGCTAGACTACAGAAACTAAGCCACTCCGCACTGGACAAGGGAGGGAGGCATCGGACACCAACGGGTGCTGAGCCCATGGCTGATGATGATGAAATATGAATGGGCTATAGATGGGATAATTATTTATTTACCCTTATAAAAGTGAAACAAGAGCAACAAAACCAATGCTCTGGGGGGCCTTGCAACATTTAAAAAATATACTAAAGCTAGAAGACTTACCCAGCATTGCCTGGGTCCTGGAGCAGCAGGGCTGTGCGACCTGCCAGGCAGCTTCTCCCTGGAGCCGGCCTGGGGTGGCTGGGACCAGTCTGGTTGCTGGCTGCTTCTTGACCGCAGGGGCTGCACAGAGGTTGGCAGCTGCTCCCTGAGGCAGGGCAGGGTAGCAGGGGCTGTGCTTCCAGCCAGTGGGGGAAAGGAGGGGAGGGACTTGCTATCCCCTGTGGTCTTTTGTGAGTATAACTGTCCCTCCTCTCACCCCCTCCCTTTGTGTTTGAGATGAAACAATCACATTCCAGGCATATCCCATTGTCCTGGCTCAACCGAACCCTGACATCACTTTAAGTTATGAGAAGCTGCCTACCGAATTTGTTAGTCTTAGATCTTATCATTTAGGAGGTGTTCTTGAACAAATGGACTCACAGACTCAGTACAGTAACTATTCTATGCTGTACGGGTTCTTGTATGGTGCACCTTACTCCACTATCAACAGCAACATCATTATGCTACCTTGCTGGGTAGAAGGGTCTCCTAACCTGGGTTTCTTTTCCTGAACATGGGGCTGCCAGTGCTGCTGTGAATCAGGCCAGTGCCCTGCTGCTAGCATGGATCTCTGGCTCTTCATCTCCAGTTGATGGCCACCTTGAAAGGTTTTCTGCTGCAGCTCTTCGCCAGCAGTGCTGTGAGCAGGGGAGTGACTCCCTAACCCTTAGGCTGGCTTTTTGCAGGCCTTAGAAAAGCGTAGAGCCGCTGATCTCCTCCTATTGTTAACAGCTGCCAGAGAGCCATCCGGAGGCAGCCAAAGCAAAGCATTTCATTACCACCCCCTCCTCTCTGCCCACTCGATGTCCCCTGTGAGCCATTTGTAGTGGTTCACTGCCAGTAGGCAATGCCCTGCTCCAGATAACTCAGTTAATAAGATGGATATGGAAGGAGGACGAGGTGACAGTAGTGGCTGCACTCTGTTTTGGTGTCAACTAGCCATTTACAGTGTGGCTGACCAACTCGCCTGGCCCCTGGCTCAGACAAAGAGGGGTGGCTCTGCACGACCAGAAGGGGCGGGACCTTGGGCAGAAGGGGCGGGACCTTGGG